TCTATATTGATCATTATTTACCTTACCAATAGAGATGTTTAGTTTTAAAAGAATTCAATGAATTTGTACATCTATTCGTTTTTTTTCTTTTCCATTTTTTTTATTAATCAAGCTGCCATCACTACTAGAAGAATTAATGACTTAATAGTTTAGTAATTTTTCAGATTAATCAATGATATCTTCATGAAATCTTTCATAAATACGAATGGATACTATTTATAATTATAGTTACACTTTACAAATATCTTTGGTGACTTCAAAAATTTTATTTTCTTAATATGATGTCGGTACTAAATGTCATAAATACTGATAAAATTGTAATCCTTAATACTATATACTATAGTATTAGAGTCGGCAGCCATTATTGAATTTATTCTTCTGAAATCAACTTTTCTTACTTAATCTTGAATTAATTTGTATTAATAGTCTTATTTTCTTAATATTTTACAAATAACAATGCCATTTTGGGAACAAAAAGCCAAAGTCTATACGTTTTTACCCTTATTAATTTAACATATTTAATTTATCATTTTCAAACTATTAATTTTAAATTCTTGAGAATATTTTAGATTTGAAATACTCAATAATATTATCTGGAATTATCTTATTCCAATGATAATGATATCATCATTTAGTTTTGATATTTAGTTGACTTGATTATTATAGAGATATTTAGTTTGATAGATATTTTTTATTTACAATTCATGATTATCTTGTATAGTAATGATTGCAAGTTATCTGTCCTCAAATTAAGCGATCAATTATCAATCATTTAATTTGTGATGAATTACCATTTGTAAGTATAAAGTTTTGATCAATTTTAAGTCTTAATCAAAAACCTAAAAATTTGTGCTGCCATATCCTGAATTAGTAATAATCCAATTATTTAGTACAACAATTTTATCGAAAAATTTATCAAATAAAAAGTCTTACTTGTAGGATTAAAGAACTTTGCAAACTAATTATTAGCTAATTAAATCTACTTCTTGAATAAATATACTTGCAATAGACTTTTGATGAGATTCATTCAATATTTAATCATTTTAATCTGAATTACCCTCCAAGTTTAAAAAAGATGCTTGCATATTTACAGACTCTAAAACGATGGATTCTTATTAATTCTTTTATTCTTTTTATGAATTAGCAATTATGTCGGGTAATGCCAATTCATAATTTTCCTGACTCTGATCTTCCATATTTAATAATGATTTTTTTGTAAAATTAATACAGCTTAACTTAATACTATCTCTTAAAGTTTTAATAGTGTAAAGCTTTATTTTCATTACTATTATT